GAGTGGTTGCCGCATATCCCTTCATGGACTTCCCTCATGACATAGTTAGCTTCTGATGCTCCTAAGCACCGGGCCAACGGGCCTTAAAAGGATTTTCTGTACAATTGGCCTTTCTTGAAGCTATAACGTACAGCTTTGGCGCGCAATGCTCTTGATGTTTTGGGGTCTTCAGGCAACTTTCCATGCTCGAGATAATCGATTATTTTGTTTCGCTAGTCCCATACCAAACTAGTCAAATTTACCTCGTAGTAATCTGTGTCCAAGGCTGAGTTCATCAGTTATACTACCGTCCCTGATTTCGATCCTTGGATTTCTGTTGATGAGCCCAAATTAGCCAATGCATCTGCCTCCGCGTTATCTTTCTTCGGGATATGAGTTATTAACCACTCCCGGAATCATGCCAATAGAGCCTGAACCTTTACCACGTATTGTTGCATATGTTCCTCTTTGGTGTCAAAAATTCTGTAGACTTGATTTACCACTAACTGCGAATCACATTTGATTTCGATGACTTCGGAGTCAAGCCCTCGGGCCAATTCGAGCCCTGCAATCAAAGCTTCGTACTCTACTTCATTGTTAGTTAGAGGAATCGTTCTGATGGCTTGCCTTAAGGTTTCCCCCGAAAGCATGATTAAAACTATTCCAAGCCCGGACCCTTTTACATTTGAAGCTCCGTCCGTAAATAATGTCCAAACTTCCGATGTCGATTCTGACACCATTATTGCCTCCTTAGCTGCCATAGGTAATAGTCCCGGACTAAAGTCGGCCACGAAGTCAGCCAAGACTTACGACTTAATTGCAGTCCTCAATTTATACTCTATATCGAATTTGCTCATTTCGACGGCCCATTTGGACAATCTTCCCTAGATCTCGGGTTTATGGAGGATATTCCTCAAAGGGAAAGTAGTTACCACAGTTATCATGTGGTATTGGAAGTAGGGCCTCAACTTCCGAGCGGCGACTACGAGAGCTAAGAGCAGCTTTTTCAGATGTGGGTAGCGAGTTTCTGCTCCCGTTAAAATCTTGCTAACATAATAAATGGGAGATTGCGTACCTTCGTCCTCTCAGACTAAAACTGCACTCACCGTAACTTCTGAGACCGTGAGGTAAAGTAGCAATGTTTCACCTTCTTTTAGTTATGAGTGCAACGGAGGGCTTGACAAATATTTCTTCAACTCCTTCAAGGCTTGCTGACACTCTGGTGTCCACTCGAAATTGTTTTTCTTCTTGAGTAGTGCGAAGAAGCGATGACATTTTTTCGAGGAATAGGAAATGAACCTGCTCAAAGCTGCTAATCTCCCTGTAAGCCTTTGGACTTTCTTTACGTTAGAAAATTGATCTGGGATGTCCTCTATGGCCTTGATTTTATAGGGATTTATCTCAATTCCCCTTTGTGAGACTAGGAATCCTAGGAACTTACCCGAACTTACCCCGAACATGCACTTCTCGGTATTGAGCTTCATATTATGCTCTCTCAAAATTTTGAATGTTTCCTGCAAATGTTTCAAGTGGTCACCTACATTCAAATACTTAACGAGCATATCGTCTATATATATACTTCCATAGTATTTCCTATTTATTTTTCGAACATCATATTCACGAGCCGTTGATAAGTGGCTCCGGCAGTTTTTAGCCCGAATAGCATCACATTGTAACAATATATACTAAAATTTGTTATAAACAAAGTCTTTTCCTGATCTTTTGGTTCATCTTGATTTGATTGTACCCAGAATAAGCATCGAGGAAACTCATTAACTCGTGCCCGGCCGTAGCATCAATCATCTAATCGATATTTGGAAATGGGAATGAGTCTTTCGGACACACCTTATTAAGATCCTTATAATCTACGCACATGTGAAATTTGTTATTTTTCTTAGGTAGTAATACTACATTGGCTAGCCATTCCGGATATCTTACCTCTCGGATTGAACCATTCTTAAGTAAATGAGTTACCTCTTCTTTGACAAATTTATTTCTTGCTTCAGCAATAGGGCGCTTCTTTTTCCTTACTGAAAGTGTGTTGGGATCCAAGCTTAACTTGTGTACGACTATCTCTGTTGAGATTCCTATCATATCCTCGTGTGACCATGCAAAACAATCGGCGTTAATTTTAAGGAATTCAATAAAAGAAGACATGTGCTCCGGGTGCAGTCCTGTTCCCAAATGGAATTTCCTTTCTAGGAATTATTCGAACAATACAACCTACTCCAGTTCTTATGCCGTGGACTTCATCGCGTCCGTCTCTTCCGGTACTTGAAAATACCTTGGTACCTGATATTGTTCTGACTCTTCTGTCCCTAGTTTATCTTCCTCTGGTTCGGGGCAGGTGCCGGTTCCAGTAATTAATATGCCGCACATTCCTTTCATTTGCTACTGGAAACCGATATTGCATTCATCTCCCTTGTTGCCGGTTGCTCACCCCTTATCTGTTTGATCCCCTCGGGTGTCAAAAATTTTAACAATTGGTGATATTTTGAAGGCACGACTTTCAACTTGTGCAGCCATGGCCTTCCCAAGATGATGTCATACCCCATGTCTCCGTATATCACTTCGAAGAGTGTTGTCTTCATTACTCCCTCAGCATTCATGAGCAGCAAACTTTCTCCCCGAGTTGTCATGCTTGCAAGGTTAAATCCGGCGGGGAGTTTCGTTGCCGGGATAATGCTCTCAGTGAGTTTAGCTTGCTCCAGTACTCTCCATTGTATGATATTAGCTAAACTTCCTGGATCCACTAAAACACATTTAATTTTAAAATCTAACACATTTAAAGAAATTACCTGTGCGTCATTGTGCGACAGTAGTAATCCGTCTGCATCTTCGTCTGTGAACGTGATATCGTCGTCCTAGAGCCTTTTACTATGAATTATCGATACTTTTTTCTTCTTTGCTGCCGAAAAGCTGACCTCGTTAATCTCATTACCTTCGAAGATCATGTTGATCGTTTGGCATGGAGGTTCTTCTCCTGCTTTCGAAGTTTTCGTATAGCCCCTGTTCCGACCATAGTTATTTTTAGCTCGATCGCTTAGGAATTCTCTGAGGTGGCCATTTTTTAACAACGCTGCCACTTCTTCCCGGAGATGTTGGCAGTCCCCAGTCCGGTGGCCATTAGTGCCATGGTATTCACACCTTAAATTGGGATCTCTCTGGCTGGGATCAGATTTCATAGGTCTTGGGAATCATGCCTCTTTGATATTCCTCATGCCGATACCAACTCTACAACACTGACATTGAAGTTATATTCTGATAACTTTGGGTAAGAAGAATCTCGTGACCCCGAGATTTCTCTATCCTGTAGCAATATGTTGTTCTGGCCATGATCGGTCCTTCTATCCACGGTGAATCATTTTGCTATCCGGAAGTTCCTACCACGACCTTCTGTCCGCTCGTAGGGCGAAAACCGGCCTCTCAAAGTCCGTCTATCTGTGTTAATATCATCTTTCATTTTTTCTCTGTTCTTCTCCCGTCCTTTGGTCGATGATGGAAAGCCAACCTGATCATCTTCGATCCTTATTTTTGACTCGTACCGGTTGTGGACATCCGCCATATTGTCGCTTGGAATTCGAGAAGACTTTCCTTCAACTTTCGGGAAGTGTCAGAACTTCTCGAATTTAAACATTTGGTGAATGCTTCAGCTGCCCATTCATACGGGACCGCCGACAGTAACATCCTTTCCTTCTGGAACCGGGTGACGTACTCTCGTAATAACTCGGACTCTCCCTGCGCGATCCTGAATATGTCGGCCTTTCGGGCATGCACCTTTCTGGCACCGATATGAGCCTTGATGAAAGAATCCTCGAGCATCTCAAAGGAATATATGGAATGCTCGGGCAATAGTGAATACCATGTTAAATCTCCCCTTGTGAGAGTCTCACCAAATTTCTTCAGCAACACGAACTTAATTTCGTGAGGAGCCAAATTATTTCCTTTCACTGCTGTTATATAAGTGGTAATGTGCTCCTGCGGATCTGAAGTTCCGTCATACTTCAGAACTTCGGGCATTTTGAACCGCTTCGGGATTAATTCTGGGGCCGCACTTGGCTTGTACGGTAACTGAATATACTTCTTCGAGCTCGGGCCCTTCAATACTGGTGGTGCACCCGGGATTTGATCCATGCGGCCATTTACTTCCTTTATGAACAGCAAAAGTTCCCCCTTGAACGAATCGTTATTATTGTTGAGGCCAGATCTACTCCCCACAGCCCCATCCGAGCCAACTTCGCCCCTGGGAGAGTTATTGTCGACTCTCCGCGTCTTTTGGTTTGTGGGAACCTCAAGAGGAATTGGATCTCACCTATTCACATTATTTGAAGCACCTGATAGCGCTTGTTTAGTTCTGTCATCACCTGATTCTGCCGTATGAGATGGCCTAGAAATAGCATGTTGCTCTTGCAGGACCCTCACTGCACCCGCTATATCCTCCTAATCAGCATTATCCTCTCCCAAACCTGCCGAGGGTATCGCCCGTCATGCGTCAGTGTGGCATCGTTCTCCTCATTGCGAGTGTCACTGATTGTATCCTCGTAATGAGGCTGCTCCCCTTGAATTTCAGGGTTGCGTGTGCTGTTATCTGCCATTTCTTTTGTGATTTTTGCTAAGACAAAAATAATCAAATTTGTTAGTAAAAAAGGTAAAGATCAATTTAATTGCACAGTTGTCTAGGCCCCACGGTGGACGCCAAACTGTTTACCCAAAAAACGGTACAGTTGAATTTGTTAGTGATTTCTAGACAAGTGAATTAATTTTATCCAAAAAATAATAAAATAACTGATGAAATATAAAATAATTAACTTTAAAATGTAGATGAAATAGCAGAGCTAGTGAGTCCGGGAACAAGATTTTCGAGAAAAAGCGAGAGAGTAGAATTGTATAAAAATGCTATGTAGAATGTATTGTAAGTTAGCCAGAGAATTCGTCCCCTTTACAATGATAACTGAGCTCTCTATTTATAGCTATGTCTAGGGAAGGAAGTCGTAGGATCATGCCCTTCTTTAATGTCAATTATGAGGGCCGTTGGTGAAGATGTAACGTTGGATATAAATGCTAAATTCCTTGTAACGGATCATCATCCTTAATGCAGCAAAATATTCTATATTAAATGCCACCGGGCGCAATGTATTTAATACTTCATTTATGATCGTTATTCCTTCCCGTGACAAGTGGAACAGCTATGTTCGGAAGCCATCCCTATCTCGTATTCCATGTGTCCTTCCTTTAAGCGGTCACGTGCCATATCGTATTTTTTCCTATACAATATCTTTGGATTAAAGAAATCTATCGTAATTTAAGTTTTATTGAATGAAGAAGAAAAAGAATAAATATGATACCTTGCATTTTTTAAAAGGGAATAAAAGTTTGGAGAGAGAATGAAACTATTTTCCTTACACTTTCAAATATTTTTTGTACATACGGTTTAGCTTGGAAAAACGTCTATATTTACACCCATAGACCTTTTATTAGTGAACTTTTCATATATGAAAGTATGCATTAGTTAACAATGACTAAGTGATAAAAATATATTTTTGAAACATATATCATATACATTTATTGGTTTGATCTGAATGCTAAATGTGGATAAATAATGAAAAAGATAAAAATTAAGGAACAAGTTAAAAAGAGAAAATATAAACTAAACTAACATCCTAAGGATTCAGAGAAAATAATTGAAAAACGGTTTTTTTTTTTTTTACGTTTGCTTATCGCGGAAAATTGAAAAATAATTAACTAAATTTTAGGGCACCACTCACCCACTAATTGAGACAATTACCAACAATAAATATTTATTGCTGACTGCCCCCTTCCACTCGGCCTTTCTTCGTNCTTTCTTCTATAAAATAAAGCGAAGCAAAGCGCATGGCAAAGAAGCAGCCAGCTGCTTGCCCCCTTCCACTCGGCCTTTCTTCGCTGTGTGAATAAGGTCTTAGTCTGTATGGGCATTCTGGGCAGGTCGCAATAAGTCGCTAGTCGAAGGTTTAGACCAATCGCAATTCATCACCATCTTGCCCGCTTCCAATTGATGACTGGATATTATATAAGTGTTAACCTAAGCTCATGTGCAGGGGCTCGGCTCTCGAACCGTACGTGAGCTGTCTCGTACGGCTCTTCCTAAGAACTTGAAGCCCCTCTCTCTAAATAGAAAAAACTGCATTTACAAGACAAAAAATACTTCTTATCAAAAAGCCTTTGCCCTCCTATTCAACGGGGCTATTAGAGAAGCAGCTTAGTTCCATTTACAAGAAAGAGACCTTTCTTGGCAGAGTGTTTCTTGAAGCAAAGGAGTAAAGTAACATGTCTGAATCTAGGAGATGATAATACTAAATACTTTCATTTAATCATCAAGCAGAAAAGATTACAACGGGTTATAACTCAGATACAAGATGATCATGCTAATGTGAAGAATGAATCGGAGGAAATTACTGATGTCTTTGTTAATTTCTATAAGGACTTGTTGGGACATGGAGAAGGACCAATATCCAGAGCAGTCAGAAGCATTTTGCAACATGGTCAAATATTAACAGAGGAACACCAGATTAAATTGTTGCAGCCATATACATCAATAGAGGTAAAGAAAGTTATGTTCATTATTGATATCAACAAAAATCCGGGGCCAGATAGCTATGGGAGTGAATTCTTTAAAGCTGCATGGGAGATTATAAGTTCTGATATAACTGAAGCTATCCTGGAATTCTTTTCCAATGGGCAACTATTACAACAGGTGAATGCCACAATGATTGCTCTAATTCCTAAGGTTGAAACCCCCTTAAATGCGAGTCAATACAGGCCTATCTCTTGTTTTAATATGGTATACAAGTGTACTACTAAGATCATATGTAATAGATTGAAGGAGATTATCCCAAATATAGTGGCTGAAAACCAAACGGCATTTATGCAAGGGAGGACTATGATGCAAAATATGCTGATTTGTCATGATATTCTGAGGCATTATAACAGGAAAACTTTACCAAGTTGTATGATGAAAATTGACCTAAGAAAGGCGTATGATATGGTCAGATAGGAGTTTGTGGAGGAAGCTTTACTGGGATTTGGCTTTCCACCTAAATTTTTGCAACTAGTTATGGCTTGTATATCAACACCCATGTTCTCTATTAAAGTGAATGGTGTGGGACATAGGTACTTTGAAGGAACGAGAGGATTAAGACAAGGGGATATCGTGTCTCCTCTTCTATTTGTATTGGTTATGGAGAACCTCTCAAAAACTTTGAGTAAGATGAGTGAATTGCCAGATTTTAGATTCCATCCTATGTGCAAAAAATTGAGATTAACTCATTTGATCTTTGCGGATGATTTGATAATTTTCTGTAAGGGTCATCTATCTTCTGTTAGGAGAGTGTTAGAAGCTTTAAACCACTTCTCATCTGCTACAGGATTGATAGCAAATTTGGATAAGTCAAGTATATTTGTGGCTGGGGTGGACCTTGCTACTAGAAATCTGCTTAAGGAGTATACATGGTTTTCTCTTGGAGAGTTTCCTACCAGATACCTTGGGTTACCTCTTTCATACAAGAAGTGAAGCAAAATTAAGTGTCACCAATTAATAGAGAAGATCACAGCCATGATTAAATTAACTTTCAGCAGACGTCTCTCATACGCAGGGAGACTACAAGTCATAAATTCAGTATTATTCTCGTTGCACAATTTTTGGGGGTTTGTCTTTATATTACCTCATAGTATCTTGTCTGAGGTTAACAAGAAATGTAGGAGCTTTCTTTGGGGCTGTACAGATGATCATAGGAAAGTGGCTCTAGTTGCTTGGAATATTGCTTGTGTTCCAAAAACATTTGGAGGTTTAAATATCAGATATTGCAAGAAGTGGAATATTGCATTGGTTGGGAAGCTAATTTGATTATTTATTGTTAAAAAGAAGGGTTGTGGGTTAAGTGGGTGCATGATCTTCATATAAAGAATAGAACTGATGCCACGACCCCAAAATCCATTAAAGGTTGTGATGGCACCTAACACCACTGTCAGGCCAGCCAACCATAATTGATTAACTTAATTACTCATTTTAGTATTTTTGAAATCATAATTTCCTTCAATTAAATAATAAGAGATAAACTTTATATAGTAGATGGAAATATTTTCACAACTACAATACTAAACAACCTATAAGTACCCCAAACCCGGTGTCACATGTGCATGAGCATCAATGAGGAAGTAAAATAAAATACATCATATGTCCGGAATATAAATTGGACAGAAAAAATATAAATAACTCTAAAGGAGACTCTGCTGGTTGCGGATCATAATAAGGGATGCCGCTCACCTAAGTCCCCGCAATGACTGCGCCTCTGCGCTCATAGGGCCACTAGACATATATGTACCTGCACAAAAATGTGCAGCAAATGAAGTATGAGTACGTAAATTAACGCGTACCCAGTAAGTATCCCGTCTAACCTCGAAGAAGTAGTGACGAGAGGTCGACTCCGATACTTGCTATGGGCTAACAATAAAATACCAATATTATGCTTAAGCATCGATTGTATGAAACAACTGTAAACTCAATAACAAGAAGTGAGTGAACAATTCTTTTATTAATAGAAAATTTTCCAAATTTATTCTCGTCATCTAACATTTTGCATCTCAGGCCAATGAAGCAATATCAATTATTATAATTCTAAAAATTTATCATGCGCAAATCATGCCGAGGTCGTACAGCCCGATCCAACATAAATATTTAAATTGTGCACTACCGAGGGTCAAACGGCGCGAACCATAGATGCATCTATCTGCTACCGAGGCGTTCGGCCCACTCCACAAAAGAGAAAATACATTTAAAACAACCAATTCAAAATTTATTTAAGGGCAATTATTCAAGGAAATACCAATTCTCATTGTGGGTCAAGAAAATGAAGTTTAGCCTTTTACAGTTCCATTACCAAATTTTAATATGATTCAAGCAATTAAATTAATAAGTAGGTTGCAAAAATTACAAGTATAACATGATTTGGGTCCTAGACTACCCGGACATAAGTATAATAGTAGCTACACACGGACTCTCGGCCCAACGAAAATTCGCATATGCGCCCCCTCTTGGCCGCTTCTACGGCTCCACACCTGCGGCCAAAACCTTGCAGGTGCGGTTACACCAGAAGACATATGCTCCAGCTTTCCTTCCAAGTCCAAACTCGATCTGTTAACCATCCAGAATCCACCCGAGGCCCTCGGGACCTCAATCAAATATATCAACACGTCCTAAAATACATTACGAAAATATCGAAACTATGAATCATCCTCCAATTCAAACTTAATGAACTTTGAAACTTCAAACTTCAAACTTCAAACTTCTACAATTGATGCCGAAACCTATCAAATCACATCCGATTGATCCCAGATTTTACACACAAGTCATAATTGACACTACGGACCTACTCCAACTTCCGAAATTGAAATCCGACCCCGATATCAAAAGGTCCAGTCCCAGTCAAACTTTCTCAAAAACCTTCAAATTCTCAGCTTTCGCCAAATGACCCCAAAATGACCTACGGACCTCCAAATCCACTTCCGGACGCGCTCCTAAAGCCAGAGTCATCATACAGAGCTATTCCCAGACTCAGAATCCCAAACGGACATTGATAACATTGAGATGCACTTCAACCCAAATTTTGAAATTCTTCCAAATGCCAACTTTCCACAATAGGCGCCGAAACGCTCCCGGGTCATCCAAAACCCGATTCGGGCATACGCCTAAGTCCAAAAATCATCATACGAACCTGTTGGAACCTTCAAATCCCAATTCTGAGGTTGTTTACTCAAAAAATTAACCCTTAGCCAACTCTTCCAACTTAAAGCTTCTAGAATTAGAATTTTCTCTCCAAAACAACTCCGAACTTTTCGAATTTCAATTCCGACCACACGTACAAGTCATAATACCCGAAGTGAAGCTACTCATGGCCTCAAATCGCTGAATGACGCGCTAGAGCTCAAAACGACCGGTCAGGTCGTTACGTTCATCCTCGAACGTGCTAGGAATTGCTCTGAAGTTGCCCAAAATCATTGTTTAACATCTTGTGCACCTACCCGTGCCATCAAAATTCCAGTTTGGCACCTCGTCTCGAGCCGGACTGAAGGTCCTCTCTTTTATTCAACCTATAAGCCTTAGACCCACATCCCAACCTCTGAATTTCTTTACAATACCTTATTCTAACATACAAACACTGCATCAATCACTACATGATGCACTAATACAGGATTGCACACCTTTGCTGAATTCACGCCATGCACCACATAATTCACATGACCATAATAATATCTTCCGATAACAATAGTCAAAATTCCATGAATCTGATGCCCACAACACACCTCATGACACATATAAGCCATATTACAACTCTTGCAATGCCTCCACGACAGAAGAGATGTGTAGAAATTCATAACCAACTACCGAGTCAACAAATCATTGAGTTTATCCTCTTGACAAGAACTATTACCTCATTATGAACCAAATAACGATATTTGTTCTTTAATATGCTTCATATAAATCTAATCGCACTGATCCCAGGTCCAATAATCTCGTCTCACCCAATATAAGCTGCTCAGGCAATAAGCCACCTCAGATACTGCCAAAGATTTCATATGATGCCATAATGTGCCCACAAACTACCAACTCGAATGTGATACATAAGGAAAACGAACTCTGGAAAGAATTACTCAACCCACGTAACTAATTAAACAACTGAAAGGGGTGTTATGAACCTTCCTCATAAATGAGAAACAAAACACACAAGAATAGATATGGGGAATTGTACTCAACATCACACTGTTGCGGCGTGCAACCCGACCCAACCATGATACCCATGGTGGCGTGCCACCCGATTCAAACAACATACTTGTGGCGGCATGCCACCCTATCCACACATAAAAATCTATAAGGAAATACTTACCGAGCAAAATGCTCATAACTACGAAATACTCGAATATCGACCACAAGCACGCCAAGTGCATAATACCATCTCTGGGGAGACAGATAGCGTCATACACTACAAAACTCAAGCACGGCTAAGGTGCAATAAATGACCTGCATCTCGAGATCCATCCTGCTCATATGACACCGCAAGCTACACGGGACCATAACACATGTGCAAATAATAAAGCCGTCTCACAACCCACAAGGCACAATAAAGTATTACATGGAATAGTTGACGACAGAAATAGCATCCAAGGCTCGAAGACTCCTCCACAAACAATGCTATGCTGAAATGAACACATCTGGCCTGATATAGAGCTCACATTCACATTTATGTCCATCCACGGACCTCAAGCCGATTCTGATCGTACCGCACTGGACTAATAACCTTTCAAGGATCCACAATACCCCTTTTTCCCATGACACACAAGAACAACCATCAAATCTGGAACAAACTTCTACAGTTCACAACCAAATGAATAGGGCACCTTCCAGGCATAATTTCTCACATTAGCGATAGGACCATAATCTCCATACTTGGTTTCAATCTATAATCAATCAAGTGACTACATGTCACACTTATACAATCTTCCCGCGAAACACACTCCCTCGAGCTTCCGCATCAGGTAACAAGTCTGTACATCCATACCACCAGCCATACTAATGTTGTAGAGCAAATCAAAAATCTGCAAATCAGTACACAAAACCTCTCACGCAGGACACCGACCTCAGGTGATGCTAAAGACGATGCCCGCTTACTCTAAACATCTGAATCTTTCCCTGCTCATTCGAACTCGTGACATCCCTGTCAATTCCGAACTACAACCTTGATCCTCACCGCACCTATCTTACCAACACGCGAGAACCCAAGAATTTCATCATAACTCCTGAACCACTAATAGGATACACACTTCATCATATAGAGACCTTTCATTTTACTCATTTCAAGAGAACCATTGCAACACGTAACTGAATTTCTGTAACCGCAGAAAATACAAACCTCAAGTAGTGGTCTAAACCACCATAACACTTCCGGGATCCATCTACGCATAACAGGCCATAATACTTGAATGCCTCCAAATAAAAATCAATTACGGCGGCTGTCATGCCACGCACGTACCACCACAAAGCACATGTATAACTTAACACGCTGAAGGAACTAATTATTGCCACCATCAGGCCAATTCAGCCATTGCTAACTGACCATGTTTCTTCCAATTTATTCCCTACTTGCCTTAGAAATAATGATAATAGCTTCATTCAAACGTAACGAACCAAATCTGCACTCGTCTTGAGTGACCCCATTTCACAAGACCACATTGTGTCAAAACCCACAAACCATCACATACCCTCCTTGTGTGCACATTTGCATCTTAAACTGGTACACCCATTCTGATAATTTATCTAAGAATCCAAAGTTGCTTTCTTCCATTCCTCCAATGCTACACCGCAGACCAATGACAACATAGAACACTCCAAGCTCTTTTTCAGTAATCCACTGCAACGCTCGATACTTAACCGTACTATGGACTCGAAATCCTTAGGCACCACACTTTAAATTTTTTTGAATCCACTAGGACCGTTGTTGAGAGTCACCCACTCCGACT